ATGCTATACTTCTCTGTCTGTGTTGTGTAGGTCTGTGGCATCCTAACCAGCAGTACGTCGAGGCGTGTGTTAGATGTCTGCGCAGCATCCTCATGTCTCCCATCTCTCCAGCAAACGTCGTATATCAGGTACGCGCGTTAGTCGCTGTCCATCGTCATACACCTCAGCGTGTCAGATTATGTACGTGAGTGCATTCATTGTCACACGTAACTACATCAGAGGCGTGTTCAGGAGACTGAACGCTCTCGAGCGCTCTCTAGCGCCCGCCTTCTGAGCGACACTGCGCTCGCGAGCGCGCGCGCAAACTCGAAAGGCTGTTCGCGCAGCGCGCGAGTTGTTTACAAGATGGCGACGGGCAATGTGGCGAATGGGAATCTAACATTTCTGACTTCAATTTGCAATCTATTTCAACTTCATTTCATTATTCATTCATTCAATTACTTCTAAATTCAATTCGTATCAATTTCGTCTGCTAATTCGTTTAACAGTACTTGTTCGAAGACATTAAAATCTCGCCATTAAAATCTGCTGAGTAACCTTCCATGGGGGCCGCCATCTTGGATAAAGCCAGCGCACAGCGAGCGCTCGTGTGTCGTTCAGAAGGCGCTGCGTTCGTTCATCGAGCGTTCGCTCTCCTGAACACGCCTCAGGTGGTGTTCGGCTTGAAGCCTAATGTCTTATCATCATTACTTATAAATGCACAATCAAGAAAAAATATAGCGAAGTGTAGTCTCACCTAATAGCGGATAGGTGTTACTTATTACACCAAATTGAAAAGTACTAAGAATTTATGCTGTTATAGCGTCGACAATTGCAATTAAATGTGACGTGACACCATCAAATATTTGAATGCAGCAACATTTAATTTAAACGTCACCTTGTCTGTTGTAAAGAACAAAAATTCACACAAACAACTCGCAGTCGGTTATCAGAAGAGAGCGGATGCGTACGTACGTATGCGTGCATCACGTACCCAGCGATGTCGCGAGCTGTAGAAGTAAAACAAGTGGCTGTTTTTCGCAGGACGAGACGATTGTTCCGCACATGATCGCGCTGCTTCCTCGCTCGTCAACGACGAAGGAATGCGTCACCAGCATCCTAGCAGACTGTTGCCGGGTGGGTTACCGTGGTTACTGTGCACGCGTGGATGCTGCTGCTGATCTAATCGCTGTTCTTTCTTTTGTTTCTATCTCTCTCTCTCTTTCTCTCTCTCTCTCTCTCTCTCTCTCTCTCTCTTTTTTTCTCTTATTTTTTTATTTTTTTTTTTTTTTACTAAGGAAACAGAGA